CATCTTCTCTGTATTTCTTTTGTTATGCCGTTACTTAATCAGTGAAAACAGCGTGAAACGTAATGATATTTTGAAACGGGCTTTTTAACTTTAAAGTTGAACAGAGTGAATTATTTTATTAATTGTCTACAGAACACCCAATAATACAGATAAAGCTTATCGTGAAAACCGAACAAACAAGTTATTGAAAGAAAATTTTTATCGAATTAACAGAATAACTCATAGTAAATAATGTTTCCGGAAATAGTAAAATATTAATTTGTCGATAAGAGCAAGCTTCACAATGAACGTGAAAGAAACAAACACGTTTTGTGTTTTGTGTACATAATCAATTCTGAGCATTGTGTGTTCATATAACTTGCAGCTGATATTGACATTTTAACATGCCTTATTCGTAAATAGCCGCAGCTACCTCGTTATATCTGAATGTTAACCAGGTCAAGTCAGATGGTCATTAAGTTACCTGTAGATTGAATTACATTCCAGTGAAAGCTGTGCTTTGTGTGTTCATATTGGTATATGCTCAATAAGTGGAAAATTTAGTTTGTCTATTTCCAAAGATTACAACAAATATTTACCTTATCAATATGTTATCTATATGTATGACATATTCCAGTTTGTGTATTTCTAGTAGATGTATTGCTTTCCTTGCAAAACCACTTCTCAAATACTTCACAATGGAACGATATAATCTGAACTGCATACTACTTAGATTCACACAGAAGAATGCTAGAAGTAAATTTATACAGTGCCATGTATACTGTATGCGTGTGTGGAATATGTTGGGAAGCTATTACATTGTAACAAACGTTTTTCCAGATGTCCATGGCTTTTACAAAAATACATCTGGCTGGGATATGATAGGTAGTACGAAGGCGTATTGATGCAGTTGTGTCTTACAAATGGCACATTTCGCCAATAGCAAAACGATATGTTTACATATTGGTAAGTCGTCTCAATGAAGGTGGTTTTGTGTGTTCATAAATATATGATATATATTTCTGAATTTTAGTTTCATGCATATAACAAATTTATTATCTTCGTCATGAATATAGCATTGACAGTACACATCCAGAATCGCTTACACAACATTGAATTTATAAATAAAAAGCCTCTAAGGTATATATAGACAATTCAATCTAAGCCAAAATTGTGTTTTTTTGTGAGAGTATAGAAAAGTCTGGTGTAATCTTTTTGTGAGACATGACGATGTCCAAATGGAATGTCTAAGATTATTAAATTTTATTTCAGAGCATTACGAACGTGTACTTAGCTCCATTAAAGGTAACCATGGTTACCGCTTAACATAGTGGAACTTAGAACATTCTTAATCATATGCATATTATATCAGTTTTTACGGGGCATTTACGGGGTTTTACGGGTGTTATATTAACTGTGTTCTAATAATATGCCGTGAAAACTAATTCTCATACATCTGAATATCGACTGTATTTTACATACATGGTGTTATCATTCGTTTTGAAGATATACGATAGATAAGTGTAATAGTAATTATTGCCACAGGCTTTGTGAAGCATTTTAATTAACCACATGTGTCTCGGGGCAATTAAGAAATAGCAAGTGTGTGACATACTAACATCACAGTATAAGTCTGTCAATTTTCAATCTGTAAATTAGTGACCTTTAAGAAGTAACAATCAGACAGTGAGCGATTATCGTATTGTATATATTTTATTTAAACTCGGTATACCCTTAAGTATGTAGTACTTATTTACGAGGGTCGAGGTTGAGAGAAAGTTCAATTATCTAGCGGTAATCAACTACTTGTCACGGTGAGTGTACTTGGAACAGAAACAGTTCACACAAACGACAATTTTTGCCATATATGATATCTCCAATAACGAATGAGCCAGCGTGACAAGTTGGGAATAATACTCTTATTGTGGGTACCCAACCACGGGAGTAGAACTCCCAATTCCCCTGGTGTGTGCGTGTGTGTGGAGAGCGGGGGGGGGGGGGGTACTAACCATTATTTCACACGCCAACGTCAGTATGTTTATTGGACGTTGCTGTGCTGTAAATCGTGCGCTGCTTGATACCACGGCAAAGCAGATTTAAATTAATAATATCAGGTTGATTTCATTTACATATACATATACTTGTACCAAGATTTAATCTGTTTACACTATGCAAGAACTAAGCTTTCATTTGAGCAAACTGTAGTTAAGATATCAACAACAAGAATATTATGTAAATTATCTGATTGTTATTCATGGTTTGTACCAAAATCTAATCATAAAGAATCTGTGTGTAAAAATTGTGTTCCAATTTACCAAGTGGTTCTTGAGAACATCCGAATCTTATACATTACATAGGTAATATAGGTAAGCCGAGAATTCATTCAATTTATCAACGCTGAACGAAATGAAAATACTCAACGTAGAGATTTATATAGTTTAGTAGATAAAACAATCATGCATGAACCCTAGGTATAAATTACAGTTATATCTGGTTTTCGTTATTTGTTTTGTTTTGTTGTCACAATATATATTCTATGTTGAACCCTAAGCCATGTTTAGGCGCCGACGTCGAATATTCATTCATATTGATTTGTTTTTTTCAATTAAAGAACCATGTACTGAAGTGAATATATAATATTTGTTAAAAATGAAATACGAATATGACAAGAATTCTAAATACGGGTTTAATTATTCAAGTGTGCACGGAATTTAAAATGACGGCAGTCGACCTTTACAATTATTAAAAACGTGAATGGCCGAAACACGCACAAATCGCAAAAAAAACGTCAGCAGTCGACCTTTACAATTATTATAAACGTGAATGGCTGGAACACGCACATATCGCGAATAAAACGACGGCAGTCGCCCTTTACAATTATTAAAAACGTGAATGGCTGGAACACGCATACATCGCGAATAAAAAGACGGCAGGCGACCTTTACACTCATTAAAAACTTGAATGCCAGAATCGTGCACACATGGCGCATGTGTTCATGTGAGTTAGTGGTAAGATTCAACGACAAAAGTAACTGGATCACTTGTTAAAGAGGGGTGTGTTTGTATATAAATCATTTCACTTTCATGGCTTCAGCAAGTGACTTTTACGATTATTAGAAGCTGGGATGAGATGGTTGGACTGGAATGATGACTAGCGTAAATGAACATAACATATGCTGTACGTGTCCATGTGAGTTAACGGTAAGATTCAACGACAAGGGTAACATGGTCAGTGTTTGAAGAGTAATTCCCGTATAAATCTTTGGCTTTTCATAGCTCCATCAAGAGACCTATTGTCAGGAGCTGAGATGGCTGAACTTGAATAATGACAAATATGAATACACATACACACATGTGAGGTACATTGGTGGCAGTGGAGCATATATCGAAATATATATCAATATCTACACTAGTAGCTGTTCAGTGAGTGGGCTGTCATGATGAGTGGTCATCGCAGTGTGTGTGTGTTTCAGTACCAGCACTGTTTCGATATAAATGTTTTATGAGACATTCAAAATCTATGTGTTAAATTTAAAATGCCATATCCCTAGGAGGTGTTTATTTATCCTAACATGAACGTATGCAGTTGCTACGATATTTATTTCCAACTTGGCCCAAGGATTGGGATTTACATTTACATTTGTAGTGGAATATTTTAGCAATAATTGAATGGTCTTTGCTTGGTCTTACTGGTTTTGCAAAAGGGG